TCGGGCTCTGCATTAATGGTGAGGAGCCTGCCTAGGATTGTCTCTTTCCTGCTCTCTGCCCCTCCCCTACTTGTGTGCGCACACATGCTCTCTCTCTCAAAATAAATAAACTTAAAAAAATACATATGAGGTTGGAGACCTAGAGGCCGAGGGGATTCTTCCGACATGTGAGAGGAGAGGGTGGTGGAGCCAGGATTAATCTGGCCTCCGCAAACCCCAGTTAGTGTCCTGTCCTGATGGATTCCTCTGGTGACCTGCCCACAAAACCAGGTTTGGAGAAAGCACTTGCCAGGATTTCTTCTGACCACATCTACTTGAGGAAAGATGGCTAGGTGTGGAGTGTGGGCTGCCTGCACCCAGGATAAGGAGTTTGTGGGGAGGAGGGTGTGGAGTCAAGAGGCTGGCCCCATTCCAGAATGGTGCCGAGGGAAAGGCACTGATGTGGTCTCACTCACCCGCGCACAGGGATACCAGCGGCCCGAGCCGCCCTCAAGATTTCATCAGAGCGCTGTAAACTCTCATCAATGGAGCAGTTGGTGTTCTTCTTAGTGAACTGCTCCGAGGCAGCTCCAAAGATGCTCACTTCCTTGGCTCCAGCAGCAACCTGCCAAGAGCCGGGTGAGCTCCTTTTAGCCTTTTTCCCTTCGAGGAACACCAGCGTGGCAAACACTCTGGTCTTATGGCAAATTTTATAATATATGAATATTATGGGTTGAATTGTGTCCCCCCACAAAAGATTTATAGAAGTCCTAATCCCTAGTACCTCAGAACGTGGTTTTATTTGGGAAAAGGGTGGGTGTATAAGTAATCAGTTAAGGGGCGCCTGGGTGGCTCAGTCGGCTGAGCACCCGACTTCAGTTCAGGTCATGATCTCGCGGTTTGGGGGTTCGAGCCCCGCGTCGGGCTTTGTGCTGACAGCTCAGAGCCTGGAGCCTGCTTCGGATTCTGTGTCTCCCTCTCTCTCTGTCTCCCCCCGCCACCCCTCACACTCTGTCTCTCTCTCCTTCAAAAATAAATAAACATTAAAAAAAATTTAAAAAAAAAGTTATCAGTTAAAATGAAGTCATCCTGGTCCCTACTTCAATAGGACTGGTGTCCTTCTAAGACGGAGGCCATGTGAAGACACACACAGAGGAAATGGCCGGTGAAGACGGAGGCAGAGAGAACAGAGTTGTCCTCCCAGTCCTCAGAAGGAACCAACCCTATTAACACCTTGATTTCACACTTTTGGCCTCCAGAGCTGTGGAGAATACATTTCTGCTGTTTTAAGCTGCCTAGCTTTTGGTATTCTCTTATGGTAGCCCTAGGAAATTGACACTGTGAATTAGATCTTCATTTAAAAAGACACCACCACCTGGGGTGCCTGGGTGGCTCAGTCGGTTAAGCTTCTGCCTCTTGATTTCGGCTCATGTCATGATCTCGCAGTTTTGTGAGTTCGAGCCTCGTATCAGGCTCTGCGCTGGCAACACGGAGCCTACTTGAGATTCTGTCCTTCTCTCTGCTCCTCCCCTGCTTGCACTCTCTCTCTCTCAAAAATAGAGAATTAAAAGCTTAAAAAAAAACCCCACCACCACCCGTGGCCTTCCCCCAAAGGCCAACACTATCACTGCCATCACCACCCTGCAAAAATCACCCTGAAGGACAGTTTTCTGCCTAAATTCAGAATCAACATCCCCAATGATGCTTTTGTCCTAACTTGTAAGAAAGTTAGCAGATACGAGCAACCACTGCGGGGAGCACGGTTCCCTTTCTCTAAAGAGGAAACGTGTATTAACAAGAGCTAACATTTATTAAGCACTTACCTTCTACCAGGCTTTTGCTAAGCAATATAGGTGCATTCTATCCTCTGAAATCCTCCCAGCATCAGGTAACTATGATTAGCCCTATTTTACAGGCCGAACCTGAGGCTCAGAGAGATTAAGTAGCCGGTCAAGATCAGAGAGCTGGGGGTGGCAGGGCCCGGTCTGTCTGACAGTGCTCATCGTTACTGGAGAAAGCCCTTCAGACAGACATCCCACAACAGGAACTGGGGCTCAGGGACAAGACAGGGACCGATGCTGTCTATCTCATTTCAGAGGCCCCCGCCATCAAGCTAGTCTCTTACCGCTGCCTGGAAGCCTTTGATATTCGGGGTCAGGACTGGGTAGATGATGCCAGGAAATTTCTGGATGCCCTTCAAGACTTCAGCATTGTCAGCCATCTGGGAGCCAAAGGAGACAATGCCAGGTCACTGCCAAAGGCAGGCAGAGAGCTCAGGTACAGAAAGCGTTTTTATCACAAGATCTCTGTTGTCCAGAACCCCTGGAAAAGAAGTCCTTTTGCAGAGCCGCGTCTTCCCAGTGCTTTACTATTTGTTTTGCACTGATGGGCCAGAAGGCTCCTCGGTGCAGGTAATTCCCCCAATTTCTCCATATGGCTAATACTGTCAGCTTTACATAAGCAGGAAAAGCAGCAATGACGCTACCAGCCATTTAATGAGAACATACTCTGTTATTTACTACTCAGGTAAACAGGATCTTTCTTCCCACTTGACTGTTTCTGTGAAGCAGCAGTTGTCCTTCCCTTTTACAAACACAGACACCACATCTCTAGACAGGTCTAGAAATTCTAGACTTCCAGAGCCAGAAGAGACCTGAGAGGTCACCCTCAACCTGGAGAGGGGAAGACCTCACCAAGATCCCCAAGCAAGGAAGGGGCAAGCCTCCTCCTTATGTTCCTGTGCTGCACCATGCTACTAGAAGTCACCTGAGACCAAGCCAGAGATCAGGAGACCTCTGTTCCCAACTTCTACCTACTTTCAGGGCAAATGCAAAACTTTACACCTCTTTCATCTGAGAAATGCCTGTTACTGAGGGCTGGGGCTCACCTGGGGAACCCACTTGGGGGACACAAAGCTGGTGGCTTCTATAACAGGGAGTCCTGCTTCAGAAAGCATGTCTATCAGCTTGATTTTTGTAGGAGTAGGCACAATATTCTGTAGAGGAGACAGAAACACCAGAAAAGACAGGTTAGCAAAGCTGGGAATACAGTGGTCTCAAAATGCAGTGCCCGTTAGTTCAAAACTCTGCTTAAAGCAAGCACTTCACTATCTCAACTTCTAAGCATGAATGAATTCACACGTAATCCTTGCCAGTAGGTGGGGTACATCTTCAAGTTCTACAGATAGCATTTTGCAGTGGAGGCAACTTCTCGCCTGAAAAGGTGTAAATACTTACATGGAAATGATAATTTTTCTGCCTTAAAGGCTTTTTCTTAACTGTTAATTTATGAACCCATCATAAACAAATTGAGATCAATGTGCGATGGCTCGAAAGGGCAGAGATGACTAACTCTCTGGGTCCTAGGAGATGGGGCCCCTAAAGCATCACACTGCCCCCTTTTCCACCTCCCAACTGGCTCAGGGCCTCATCCTCACATGGTCAGCCTACTGCTTCTTTCTTTCCCTCCCCCACCACGCCTACTTGCTCCACTAGGTTCTATGGCTCCCCCTTTCCAAACCCACTATCATTCTCCCATGTATATTACGGCATGGTCTCACTCTACCAATTCATCCCACATGGAATCCTTCTAAAACAGTCTCTATTGTTCCACTCTCCTGCTCAAAAGCCTTCTGTGGCTCCTTAGTACTTACAGGTTTAGGTAAAAAATCCAAGAACTCAGTCCTTCTCACCAGGCCCGTCCACCCCAACCCCCTAATTTCTCTCCCATTGCTTTACCTTAATTCATTCCGTAATTTTTAAGAGCCCTCCACGTTCCGGGGATTGTGCTAGGTGCTAGGGATACAGCAGTGAGCAGAACAGAAATGATTCTGCCCTCACAGAGCTTACAGTTTATTGTCAGAAATAAGCTCTCACTATTAAAACTTGGCTTTTCAAAAAGAAGAAAGAAAGAAAGAGAAAGAAAGGAAAGGAAGAAAGAAGGAAAAAAAGACATTTCTGATTGAAAAAATAATACATGATTATTTCAAAAAACATGCCAAAACCAGAAGAAAACCATCCTTAAAATCTCCCAGAGATGACAACGGTAACACCCTGATAATGTAGCTTTCTAGATCCATGTAATCCAATACATTAAACACTAGCTATATGTGATTATTTAAATTGACATTAATTTAAGTTACATAAAAACAAACTTTCAGTTCTCCAGTCACACTAGTCACTTGTTTTTTCTTTCTTTTCTTCTTTCTTTCTTTCTTTCTTTCTTTCTTTCTTTCTTTCTTTCTTTCTTTCTTTCTTTCTTCTCAATGTTTACTTATTTTTGAGAGAGAGAGAGTGGGGGCACATGTGTGAGCAAGGGAGGGGCCAAGAGAGAGGGGGACAGAGGATCTGAAGCAAGCTCTGTGCTGACAGCAGACAGCCCGATGCGGGTCGTGAACTCACGAACCATGAGATCATGACCTGAGCCAAACTCGGACGCTTAACTGACTGAGCCACCACAGCACCCCACGTTAGCCACATTTCAAGTGCTCGATAGCCACATGTCCAGCACAGCTCACATCTACGACGTTTCCATCTTCACAGAAAGTTGTACTGGACAGGACAGTTCTAGACTCTTTTCTAGGTAGATGTTCCCACACACATATAAACTTTTTTGTTTCTTACGTAAAAGTGTAAGATTAAAGAATATACATATTATCTTACCATCAGCTTGAGTCACTTAATATACACCTATATTAGTAACAACTTCATAATCCATTTTATGAAGTCATTTAAGTACTTGATCTAACATTCCCCACACTGAGCATTTAGGTGGTTTCCAACTGTCCTGTTGTTACAAGGGGGTTGGAAGGAACATGTCTAAGGCTAAATCTTTGCATGTGGCCTTCATGACTTCCTTTGAATAAGTCCCCTTGCGTGGAATTGCTGGATAAAAGGCATGCTCTCACCTTCACTCTACTCTCCTGCGGTCTGCCCCACTGGGCCTTGAGATGTTCCCCCTGGGGACACCACACCTGTCGCTCCACCAATTTAGATTGCTTTACCGTCACAGGTGCCTGCCCGGCCTCCTGGACTTTGGCTGGGACAATCGTGTCTTGCATAGCTCTGTCCGTCCCGGCTGTGCCCACCACAGGGCACTCTTACTGCTTGAAAAACCTCTTTTGGATGATTTCCATCTTTACCTTTTCATTTTGTAGTCCGTCTCGGGCACCAACTTCCACAATTTTCACTTGCTTTGGGAAAGTATCCGCAGAAGAGGTGCTGACCTTTGGTTTAAAAGAGGAAACAAAAAGTAACCAGAGGAGATTGTCCCAAGTCCCCAGGGGGACAGATTTAAAAGAATGGATCCACCTTCACTGAGACAAGAAGCAGTATTTCTCACTGAACAGTAAATATTTCTCACATTTGGTTCATTTTGGAATTGAGAACAAAAAGAACAAAAATGTTTCACTGAGGAATGGGCAAGAGATTCATGCTCCTAGTAAAAGTCCATTTCCAACTGTCTGTCAGCGGAGCATTTAGGTTGTTTCTTACACAAACCTATTTGCCCCTCCTAAACTTAGAAGTCCCCAAACAGAACTGTTTAAATTCTCCTGAAGCCCCATCTGACTTCACGCTTTCTCAGTAAAAATCATCACATACATTCTACTGCTTAAGCCAGAAACTTGACTCATCCCCTGACCCCACTCACCGTGGGCTAGAAGGTTATCATTTGGCTCCTGCTAATCCCAGTGAACTCATTACTTGTTTCTACTGTCCCACCTTCCCCAGCGGGGTAACTACACTGCAGTCCTAATGGCCTTCCTTCCACAGCAGGGCCTCGAGGGTTACTGTTCCCTCTGCCCAGAATGCTCGTCCACATCTGGCTCCTTCTCACCTTTCAGCCAGATGAGCCTCTTCTGACCACTCTTTGTAAAGCTGCCAATCCCCTCACCCTCATCATTTTCCGTATCAAAACAGTAATTCCTTCAGAGCACTGCAAATAATGCCTACTCAATGTTTCCCCCAGTAGAATATAAGCTCTATGAGGCTCGGTCTCGACCTCCACTCCATCCCTTGTGTTTGGCACTGTGCTTGGCACACAAAGCAGGCACTCATTAAAAAGTTACTGAAACAACAAATAAATGCATGAAGGGGCATAGCTGCCCCAGAGGAGGGCAATTACTAGGTATGGGGAGTAGTTAGTCTTAGACTTCGTGGGGTTGGGGGATAGAGGAGGACTTGTTCTGTTAGTCATAGGCTGGGTGATAACAAGGAAGGGGCTTGAGGGGAGAGGACACCAACAGCTGAACACATTAAAAAAAGTCCTTGAGTCTCCTCCATTTAAAGTCTGCCCCAAATCTTCCTCTCCTTACCACCAAGTAATACGAGGCTTTTCTCCCCTCTCTCCTCTGTTCTTTTTTTTTTTTTAATTTTTTTTAATGTTTATTTATTTTTGAGACAGAGAGAGACAGAGCATGAATGGGAAAGGGGCAGAAAGAGAGGGAGACACAGAATCAGAAGCAGGCTCCAGGCTCTGAGCCATCAGCCCAGAGCCTGACGTGGGGCTCGAACTCACAAACCGTGAGATCGTGACCTGAGCTGAAGTCGGACGCTCAACCGACTGAGCCACCCAGGCGCCCCTCTCCTCTGTTCTTCTTAATACAACTCTTCAAATTCACTTCATGTTACCATAATTAATCTGGATAAACATACTGCAATGAGGCCGCGGGAGAGAAGTGCATTGGGTAATCTGCTGAGGATCGCCAACTCCTGAAACCCTTAAGGAAAGAAACATTCCCTGCTATGAATCAGCTAGAACTTGAACAACTCACCTGAACTGGCCTTGCTTTTAGTCAGAGACTAAGGCGATGAGCCACTGAATTTCATGAAGTCAATAGGCTAGGTTGGAAGGTCTCTGCAAGTTGAATGCCACTACAACAGGGATGTTCAGCCTATGCTAGTCCATTGCCCTAAATTGATCCCATTGGAATGTAAGCTGCATGAGGCAGGGACTTTGCTTTATCCATTGCCGTATTTCCAAGGCCCTGGGACATATACGGGTTTGGCAAATAACTGCTGGATGTTGTTGAAATCACGCAAGACCCGCTTCCAATGTCCTTTTATTAGAAAAGAACAGACTCAATTCCACTTCCTTCCCCATAACAACTCTTCACATAATAAAATAATAATTCACATTTATTAAGCATTTAATATTTGCCAGGCACTCATCAGAGCCTTTTACACATTAACCCATACCATCCTCTGAACCTCATTAGGTCGGCCTATTACAATCTCCTTTTTCCTGTGAAAAATGTGAAGCCCAGAGATTAAATAAGTCTCCCAAGGTCATATGGTTAGCTGACCCACTGATCGATATCTGACCCTGGCAATGTAGACGTACAACGCTTGCTCTTAACCCCTAGGCCACATTGGCTCTTTGCCACTTTTCTGTCTCCACCCCCCCCCCCCCAAGTCTTCTACTTGTCTTGATTAATCACCCAGTTCATTCCCTCCGTACAGCTCTGCCCAGAGATGATCTCCTCTAACCACAGAAGTCCTGGGCCGAGCCTCCCGAGCTACAGCATACCGATACCAACAGTTAATAACAACTAAAGTCCAACGCTAACTCCAGGATCAGTACCGCATTGAGTACCTCCATGGCAGGGACTATCATCATCTCAACTCCGTACAGGAAGAAGCAGCCTCAGAAAGATTAGCCAAAATCACACAGCTAGCAAGTGAAGAAGTCTGACCTTGAACCATCTGCTTCTGCTATCAACCCTATGCTAGTAACCCCACGAAGGGCCTATTACCACCACGTCATCACACCAGGAATTTTTTTTCACAGCACGTTGATACCCACCATCTCATTTAATTTTATTTTTCAAGTTGGAAGTACCATCACTACTTACACATTAATAATTGGTAGGGATGGGTGGCCTAGCAGACATTAGAGTGGTTTTCCCAGGGGCCCACTGCCAAGACAGTGTCATTTTCCCCACCTTACTCTTCTAACTCTTCCTAAACAATCTAAGGCAAAAATAACACAACTGACTTATCCCTTACTATGACCTAAAACAATGTCAAATGCTTTACCTACATTTTCCTTCCACTCCAAAGAACCCTGAGGTAATGTTTACCCAAGTTATAGACGAGAAAACGGAGGTTTAGAGAGTAAATAATTGTCACTCAATTTAGAAAGGGGCAGAACCACTGGGCACCAGAGCTCTAACTCTAACCAAAACAATTTATTCAACCCCTTATTCAACTAGGTCTCCGACACTTTCCCTCCACTCACTGAGCAGGAACATCAGGCTCGAATATGCCCAAAGTACGATTCCAAGGGAATCACAAATAGTCTTACGCGATCCCAGTCCTACTTGGCACGCTAGGATGGCTCTCCAAGCGTCCCCAAATGCAACCAGAGCTGGCAACGCCGGCGGAGGGAGGGCGAGGGCCTTGCTTTCTCCGCTCGGAACTGGAAGGGTATTCGTGATTTTCGCTACTGAGAAGCCTGGCAAGGTCGGAAGCTCGGAGGGACGAGGTGCTAGGGTCGCCGGGAAGAGGCCCAGATCTCCATGACCCGGGCAAATCGTTCCCTATCTCCGGGCCTCAGTTTCCCTGTGCCCCTCAAGGGCTTTGGGCGGGACAAAGAGGATCCATGACTCCAAGGCCCTCCTCCCGACGGTGGCCTGAGGAGCTGTCCGGCTTCGGCTCTCCAAGAGCAGCCGCCACGGGCCAGGGCCCCGAACCCGACCGTCACGGTGCCTTCAGGGCCACCCCTCGGCGGGCCGGGGCACTTACAGCCCGGAGAGACGCCAAAACCATCAGTCTCCGCGGCAGGACCTTCCTCATTGTCGCCATCTTGGCCCAGCTTCCCCCGCGGACCTCGGCTGAGTCTCACGTGACCGCCAGCCGCCAGGTGGGCGTGCCCCTGCCTTTGGGGCGGGGCTTCGGGTGCGGCGGAATGACACCCTCAGCTGACCCTGTTTCCAGTTTGTTTTTCTTTCTTCTGGCCTGCTGTTCCTTATCCATTACGTTTTCTGAGTGCCTTCTACTTGCCATGGCGAAGTGAGGCTAGGACTATAAAGATGAACAAAAATTAATCAAGGGGTTTGGAGTCTGGGAGCTGTAGGAAGACATTAATAATCACATAAATAGTTGCATAATTACTACCTTTAGCAGTAATCACGAATACCCTTCCAGTTCCGAGTGGAAAGTGATAAGATGAAGCATTACTATTTGCCATGCTCAGGTCTGAGTTCTTTGCACGTATTAACTCTTTCATCACGACCTCCTGGACTCAAATGCAGGCAGTCAGTGAGAGAGACAGAGTGCGCGTGAGCATGAAACATCCTTTGATTTCATACCTTGAGAATGAGTAAGATGTATCCAGGTAAAGAGGACACAAGAAAAACTTTCCAGAGAGCAAACCATATGCAAAGGCCCTGGGGCAAAGAAATTGAATGCTTAGAGCAGTGTTTTCCAAAATGCATGTTGTACCCCATTAATGGGTCATAACGTTAATCTAGCAGGTGCCAACTTTTTTAAAAAATAGAAAAAATTGGAGAAAATAGTAGTAAAGCTAAGTACTGCTTTGCAAATCTTTTGTTTGTTCTTACATATGTCAACTAGGTTACAATGTAAATTAAATTTCTTACTGTAGGCTGTAATTTAGAAATGTTTGAAAAACACTGTTTTAGAGAGATAAGAAGGCCGGAATGACCGCAGAGCAAGGATGGGACTTTCTACTAAGATGGGAGAGATTGACAGGGACCATACCACTGGCTTTGGAGAACACATTAACAGCTATCCTAATAACAATGCA